TTGTGAGCAGCATATTGTTAGATCTTGCCTCTTGATCCTTTCTGCCAGTCTGTTTCTTTTGATTGGTGAATTGAGGCCATTTACGTTGATTGTTATAACTTATGACAACCTTATTGTGTTATTTTCTAGTCGGTGGTTCCCTTTTTTCTCCTCTGTTGAATTGCTTGCCTTGACTCGTGGGTTCATTTTGTTGGGTTTCATGGAGTTGTAGTCATTATCTCTGTCTATAATGTCCTTGAGAACATTTTGGAGTGCTAATTTGGTGTTCAGGAACTTCTTCTGGTACTCTTTGCCATGGAAATGTCTTATTTCTCCATCAATTGTGAAAGAGAGTTTATGGGATACATCAATTTAGGTTGGTAATTGTTCTCTTTGAACACTTGAAATATTTTATACTGTTTTCCTTGACTTGAATGTTTGTTTTGAGAAGTCTGTTGTGATTCTGATGGGCTTGCCTTTATACGTGATTTGTTTCTTCTCTTAGTTTTTAATGTTCTGTTGTGTTGAATTTCTGGAACCTTGACTATTATGTGTCTTAGTGAATTTTTTTCCTTGTGGGTAATTGGAGTTTTATATGCCTCACTTAATGTACAAGCATCTTTTTCCATGCTTAGGAAGTATTCTGTCATTACTTCTGTGAACTGTTTTGTGTGTGTGTGTGTGTGTGTGTGTGTGTGTGTGTGTGTCACTTGTGCCATCCCCTGCTTTTTCACTGAATTTAATCAATCTAATATTATCCTTCTTTTTTGCATCATCTATGAGCTGTTGGACTGATTTTTTCATGGTTTCTTACTATTTTTAAGAAACTTTTCTTTTCATGGTCACTAACCACAATCCTGTCTTCTATATCTGATAGTCTGTCCTCATATTGGCTCATTCTGCTATTTTTCAATGGGGTTTTTAATCTCCTGGAAATCTGTTTGAATCTGTTTTCTTTCCTGTGTTGGGCATTCATGGTTTCCATCGTTTTCCTAAGCTCCTCTTTCTTTTTTTTTTTTTTTTTTTTTTTTTTTTGTCTGTATCTACTTTAGATTCACTATGTTTTTCTTTCTTTCTTTTTTTTCCATTGAGTTTACTGGTACTTTTTAGGTATACATACCATCTCTGTAGTTATCCGATAAGCTATTTCTGCTTTGATTCTTTCTAGAGCCTCATTCATCTGATTTAATATTTCCACTGTTACCACTTCAGACAGTCCCAGTGGGTAGGTTTTGACTGATTCTACCTCAGTGTCCTCTGGGTTTGCCTTTGCTGAGCTGGAAGTTTGGGGTTACATCTTGCTAAAGTATCTGCTCATTTTCTATTTATTTCACTTTAATTCTAGGTTGATGCTTGTAAATTGCTTATAGCAAATAGCTTTGTTGCTAGTCTTAAGAACCCTCAGGAAATGACTACTTCTCAGAGATGGCTTTTGGGTTTTGAGTCTGTTGCAAGGTCTTACCTCTTCTATTTATTCTAGAAGAGAGGTTGCTGCCTATTTGTACTAGACCCCAGTTCTCTGGCACTGGCTTATAGTTTTTCTTATGACCCTTAGGCAATCTCAGTCTTGGCAGACCAGGAAGAATAACCAAGTAGAATAACTATGTCACCATGGCTAAAGTAGTACAGTCATCAACAATAGCATCAAATACAGCCACCCACTGAAGCCAACTGTATCTACTGCTCTGTTCCACTGGTATGATCCTCTGTAGGGGCCTTTTGGGTCATCAGCAGTCACCATGAGTCTGCAGATTTGAATCACTCTTCCCACACACTGAGTTGAAGCTCAAGAAGAGAGCACCACTTTCCTCCTTCTCCTTCTTCGTTGAAGTCTCTTCATTCTCCCCCATGGGTTTCATTTCCACCTCCAGATCCTAGATAGGTCCCAGGGACCCACTTCCCTCCTTCTTCTCTTCCTCATGTTGCTATATTCCAAGGTCTGGACACCAAATCCAGGAGAGGCTGTCTACCACACTGCCATCTTCCTGGAAGTCTCCTGGAGTGCCTGATGCATTTTTTAAAACTCACCTGTTGTAGCTTCATGACTACTTAATAAGTATCATTAAATCATTTTTGGTAATCTTTTGTCTAACAAAATTGAATATATCTACATATGCAGTGATTCCCTTTATTCTTTATTAAATTTATCTTTAAAAAACAATTGTGCCATATAAACAGGTATCTTCTCTAATGAGTCTGTTGAAGACAGGCTTTGTAAGATACATGGTGATTTAGATATATAGTCTGTATTCAACTAAATAATTTTGAAGCCAACTACTGTTCCTTAGTACTCTCTGTTAAGTAACTGAGTGGACTTGTATTCTTTGAACCCTACAGTTGTTACACTATATGTTTACCCCACATTATGTGAATAGTTTTCATTTATAAGGTACTATAAATCCCAACAGTATGCAAATTCTTGAAAAGCTGAAACCCAATGTAATTCTCTGTAATTCAGATACTAGCCTACTACCTAGTAAAAATAATTGACTCAAGTGGAAATATATTTTGATTCTTCAAACTTAATCATAAACAAATTTATATTTTATATTTAATATTCCTGCCAAATCTATATTTCCATTTGATGCTCTATTGTGATACTAGGAGCACAACCAAAGCTGCAATTACAGAAACATGCTGCTTTGACATTTCACTCAATATCAGCAAACCAGGTATCTTTGGATTCATAATGAAATGTATCGATCCCTTTGCTCCACATTCAAGTTATTTCTTAGACCAAGTGTTTTTGATATAGTATTACATTAAATTCAATCTTCCAAGAATCTAAAATGTATGTCTTATTGGGATTTTATTAAAATGGAATTTAAGGCAAGTTAACTTTCAAAGGCCTATATATAGCTAATAAATGTTGGAAACTGGAATTTTCTCATAAAATTGTTCAATTTGAAATCCATTCCCTTTTCAATTTGCTTTGTTGACTTCATTCTTTCTAAATCCAGATCACCACTTACTCTGATCATCAATAATGTATTCTAAGTAAACTAGTCCATATTTAGTTCTTCTCCAGGTTCTTTAAAAATTGTTTCTTTTATAATTGATTCAAACATAATTTTGAGGGCCGAGGATTTAGCTCAGTGATGCTGCCGCCTGCTTGCAAACACAAGGACCTGAGTTCAATCCCCAGTACCAAAAATAATAAGTAAATATATAAACATAATTTTTTTTTGATGCTAGGGATTGAACTCAGGTCCTTGTGTTTGCAAGGCAGGTGCTGGAACCACTGAGCTAAATCCCCAGCCCTATAAACATAATTTTGATAGCCAAATTGTAATTGGAATGGAGAATGAAAAACACAGCAGAGAGAAAGGACAGCATTTGTTCAAGAGTCTTCAAGTGGTGTAAAGAGGCCATGACTATTCCTATGTTTAAAATCTTTTTACTGAGTTCTTGTTATCTTTCATTAAATACTTATTTGGCACCTGCTATTTTCAGAAAGTACTCATCACAGTGTAGGTATCACTGTTATAAAAATGGACCAAATACCTGTCCTTCTAATGTTTACATATGATGAGTCTGCCCCAAAAAATGTATACATCAAAAAAAGAAAAAACTTATATAAATATTTTGACATTAAATTTATAGAGACATTGTGAGATTAATACAAATTGTTCTTGGCCTATACGATTACAAGAGGTGCTCAAAGTGATGGCTATTAGCTTCCAGACATTAGTATGACAAACTGCTGCAATATGAATACATTTTTAGGTTTTTCTCTCTCTCTGCATCTCTGTCTGTGTGTGTGTGTATGTGTGTGTGTGTGTGTATATATATATATATATATATTATATATGTCTGTGTAATATATGTCTGATATACATATATATTATTTATATAATTTTATATTATGATATATAATTGTATAATGTTGTGTATGTCTGATACGCATCTATGTCTGAGATGTGTGTGTGTGTGTGTGTGTGTGTGTGTGTGTGTGTGTGGACAGAAAAATAGGGCCTGTCCAAGATTGGACAGCCTCATAATTGCACAATCCCCACTCTACATCACTCTAAATATCACATTAAATGGTCCATCTTTTGAAAATTCCTTCTGTCTCATAGTACCTAAAATCTTTAAGGCAATTTGCACATCATCTAATTCAGGAAACTCTGACACTGCCACCTTTTTTTTTTTTTGAATGTCAGAACATTCTAAAATTATCATAGCAGTACCACACATTTTGTTGTATTTTCCCACATTTAATTTCTGTCTCCTTCATACAACAAATTCACTAATGACAAGAAGCATGCTGTTTCATCTTGAATCTATGATTCTGAGTACCAAGCCTGGTGGAGAATAAGCACTCAACATCCTATATAAGTGGTGGTGAACCTATGGCACACAACAGTGGGCACACAGAGCCCTCTGTTGGCACATGAGCCAGGTCACTTCGGCAGCTAAACATCAGATATTCAGGTTTAATTGCAGTGCTGGCACTTTGTGATAAGTAAGTGGGTTTTGGGTTGCAGTTTGGGCAGTCAGTCTCTCAAAGTTTTGCCATCACTGCATGTGAAGGATGTGAATGGTCAAGTGAATGAATTCTTACATAAAATAAAGCATTTTAGTTACATAAGATTAAACTTGGCAATCAAGAGTGAAAAGAGAATTAGAGTATTTTATAAATGTGAGTTCTGAAAATATATTAAATCATGTACAAAAATAGGAGTGATTTTTTTCTGTTTCTTTTTCCATAGAACATATTTCCAAGATGAAACAGCTTAAAACTATAGTTCTGTAACACAGGTTGAAAGACTTGGGATATTGCATTTTAAAAAACAAAAGGTTAACATTTAAATGTTTAAATAAATACAAACTACTAATGCAGACATTTATTTGCAGTAACTTGGGTTTATTCAAATCTTCTCTGACCTTGTAATTAGTCTTTGATAGGAAATGTATACTTTGATTTAAAAATTCAAAGGATCTTGATTACTAATAAAATTTTTTCTAAAATAATATCCACCTTTGTATATTTAGCTGTTGCGAGCCAATAGTAAATATTTTCAGTGCTCTAAAAATATAGAGAGAATTAAGAGGCACCAACTGAAATGTTTTGTAAGAACATTTGGAAACAGTGTAGCCGATGATGTGAGGTCCCAGAAACTGTATTCATCTTCAGTGGTTGTCTCTTCTGTGCCGGGAGGCTCCTCATCATCATCATCACTGGATGGAAAGTCTAAAGTGGTATCTATACAAACACGATCAACAGTACACACATTAATAGCACGGACAGTTTGTACATCAAGTCTATCCTTACAAACCAAGTTGGCATAACAGCTGCAATGAAAATTTTTGGAAAATTCCTGCAGGTCTTCAAGTGTGGGTTTTCCATGTATTATAAACTTCCCATTTTGTCCAAGTTCAATATCAAAACTTGTTGCATTTAGGTGAAGATAGGTACTCGAATTCCAGTCTTTTCTTGTGCAAATTCCTTGGTCCCCACAAAGCACTTGGCTACACATTTTGGCTGCTAGAGTGACATTGATTATATAAGGATCCAGTGTAGTCTTTAAGTAATTTTCTAGTTGCAGGCAAGATTGCTGTAAAATTATAAAATGTTCATTTTGAACATTTATCAAGCCATAAGTATGCTACATAACTTATTGAAATAAGCAGGTTTTTAACAATGAACAAAACAACAGATGTGCCAGAAGATAGGAAATATTTCATCATTTTTACTTTAACAAGCAAAATTATTCTGTTTTTTTCTAACATTATTTCATATCTCATTTCATGCTATGGAATATTATATCAGTTAAGGATTAAAATATCTTAGCCTGATCTTCCTCAATTATTTATAAATTAATCAAGGGAATAGAATGGTTCAGCTATTAGAATATGGCCTCTAGGGTCTATTTGCTTTGGTTGGATTCCTTCATTAATGCTGAGCTATGTGATTTTGAGGACAACTAAAACCCTCTAAATATTAGTTTCTTATCCGAGTGACCTTAGTAAATCAATCAACTTGGTTATGGTTCAATTCCATCACTTGTACAATAAGGATAATTTTGGAACCTACCTTATAGGTAGAAAAGAAGAAAAGATACAATGTATATAAAAATGTTTTTGATATAAAGCCTAGCATAACTTCTGTAAACCCTCAATAAATTTTAAGTAAACATAATAAGAATTACATATGTCAGGCAAGATTGAACAAGAATGAAAAGAATTCTAAGTTGATGGCTTAACATGAAAGGTTTTAACTGAGTATATATTAAATGTTAAATATAATAAAATTATATGTGAATAATGACAGCTTGTTTACAAATTTGGCCAAGTATGCTAAATGAATAATTGAAATCATTCACGCTGAGGTTAGTATGTTCTGAAATATGGACACTGTGCTTTTAAAAACATTGAGGAGAGTTGTGTTCTTTTATGCCCAAACAGTGCAACTGAGTTGGCTGGAAGTGCTAGCCCCTCTGCAGGCCTGAGGAAAATGTGCTGGGCAAATTAAGGAATCTTAGCAGCTCTTCTTGTAATCTATTTCTCTTTACCTTCCCTGAGGTAATACAATAACAATGGCCTCCCAAAGATGCCTATGCCTTTTCCTACTGGTATCTATGATTCTGTTAGCTTGCATGGCAAAAGGAAGTTTGTAGATATGACTAAGGACATGTTACATGAGAAGGGAAGATTTTCCTGAATGATCTGGGACGGCTTATTCTAATTACATGCATCTTTCAAAGTGCAGAAACTTTTCCAGTTGTACTAGAAAGATGGGATGAAGAGGGAGGAGAAATTCAAAGTGAACCACCAATACTGATTTTGTTTGGAGTTTTTTTTGTTTGTTTGTTTTGGGGGGGTACCAGGGATTGAACTCGGGTCCTTGCACTTGCAAGGCAGGCCACCGAACCGCTGAGCTAAATCCCCAGCCCCACCAATACTGATTTTGAAGATAGAAGAAAAGGGCCAGCAGCTAAAGAATGTAGTACTATCCAGAAGATAGAAATGACCTTTAACCAACAACCAGTGAGATAACTGAGAGTTCATTGCTTAAACACAAGGAACTGAATCAGCCAAAAACTCAAATGATCAAGTGAATAACCTCTTTTAAGAGGTTGCTTGCTGACAACCTTAAATTTAGCCCAGTGATACCCATGTTGGACACTTTACTTGCAGAATTACATATATATTTTTTCATATATAAATATATATTTACATATACTGCTCATTTAAGTCACCAAGTTTGTAGTTGCTTTTATAGAAGCAATAGAAAACTAAAAAAACACAATCTGTCTTCTTAACCTTAGTGGCTTTGCATTGAATGTGGAATAAAATGCAACTTCAGTTGACTTACACATACCAGTCTGACACTGTATAACCCTTCCTACCTCTTGGACAATCCTCTCTCCTTCGATACAGTTATTTCACTAGCACAGCAGGTTCATTTTAAACCACACTAGTCTACTCTTGGCTGGGAATGTTCTTTCCTCCAATATTTAACATGGTTCGCTCCATCTTGTCATTAGGATAGTGCTTTAAACAGACAGTGCCCTCTCAGATACAGTATTTTCTTATCAATTCACATCTCTGTATTAATTCTCTGTATAGTAATTATCACATGAAATATTTCCCTTATTTGTATATTTTCCTGAGCACTCATAAGTTCTAAGACGGCATTGTCTGTGTCAGTATTCTTCAATATTGTATTCCCAGTACCAAGATGAGAATTTCACCAATTTCAGGTGACATTATAGTTGTTTTCTCAAAGCCCCAGTTACAGTATTAGCCAAAGGGGAAAAAAAAGATTAAAAGAGAATGATTTAAGAGTCATTAGCCTATATAAGATATAACCTACAGTGAACTAGGGATTTGGCTCAGTGGTTCTGCCGTCTTCCTTGCAAGTGCAAGGGCCCAAGTGCCTTTCCTGGCACACGCGCACACACAATATATATGATGGATCTAATAGAGTCTATCTCCTTGATACAGTCTGCTTTGCAGCACTCTATATCATGATGTAAATACAGTGGTATTTACAATTGGCTATGGCCAATTTGATGTTATCAATATGATACCAAGGAATAAAGAATTGGGAATTAAGTACATCATCAATATATGGTATGGTAATATGATGTTGGATTATCAACCATTACATAGTATTTCTATTTATAAAGATAACAATAAATATAAATAACCTCAAAATATATAACAAAGTGAAATAAAATAATTGATATATTTTGAGTATGTATTACCTTTGTTTTTAATATCATGGATTTTGTTATATGTTTTGATAATTAAATTTTTAATAATAGTTATGTTTAAGCACTGGCTCACAAAATTCTTGAATATTTAACAATCAAGTCTCTCAAGATGGAGTCAGTAGAACTGGCTCCATCACATTATCAGAGCTAATAAAAAAGTTTAGAAGGAAAGAACTCACTAAATACTTGTCTATTAACTGCAGAGAAACCTGCAATGCCAGTTTTTCAAGTTCTCAGTGAATCAGAACATGAAAAGTGACCCATGGCTCTATTGGTTACACATGACATAGAGTATTAATATTCAAAATAATCATAATTTCGGAAAAATAGAAGAAATACATAGCACATAATCTATAAGGTACAATACCAATACTGTGATATTAATTAGAGAAAAGTTAGGGGCAGGGATTTAGCTCAGTGGCACTGTGCCTGCCGCACAAGCATAAAATCATGAGTTGGATCTCTGGTACCAAAAAAAAAAAAAATAGAGTTATTAAAGTGGAAGGACTATTCCTAAATGATTTGGGAGCTGTTATGGTTCAGAACTAAGATATCCTCCAAAGTCTCATGTGCTCAGAAGCAAAGCTTTCAGAATAAATGACTCATGGGGATGCTCATGATTCATGGCTGAACGCACTGTTAGGCACTGGGGCCTGCTTTGAGACGGGGAGTTGGTGACTGGCAGTGTCCCTCTGGAGAATTTCCTTCTCTCTCTCACACTCTTATTCCTGTTGCCATGAGGTGAATGAATATCTTTTCTCGGCTATGCCCTTCAGTCATAATGCTTCTGTGCCTTGGAGTCAACAAGGACTCCATGGACTGACACTTTTGAAACCACAAATCAAAAGAGACTCTACTGACCTTAAGGTGTAAGTGTCAGGTATTTTTTTAATCAGCAACAAGAAAGGGACTATTGCAAGAGGCATAGTAAAAGGCAAGTTAAAGTCATATCAAAGAACCAGTTGACTCTTAAATTTTATGTCACATCATCTTACTCATTGTGGAATTCCTGATTCATTCCTCATCAGAGTGAGGGTAGAATTCTGTTTTTTGTTTTTTTTTTAAGGAACGAGTATAGAGCATTTATGAATGCCTCCATTACTGAATTAATGGCATCCCTGAGAAAGCAGTTTATGGCCTTGGAAAACAACTAGTAAAAATTGGGAGTACACTTATGAGAATTGAAATTTTAAGATAATTTTTAAAAATATAAACAGTCTTACCAAAAGTCATATAATTTTTTCTGAACTTGTATTTTTTATTAATTATTTCTTTACTGGCTATGAAGCCATAGACAATATGATTATACAAAATTGGCATAAGGGAATGTGACTACACAGAAAGAATTTCACAAATGTGACTGTTTTAAGCACTTTTAAATTAAGAATGTTGCTATTCTTCCTAAGGGACAAGAGACAGACATGGCCTTTTTCAAAATGCCTTTCCCAGTGGCAGAGAATAAAGACTTTTCTTTATAAGCCATAAGATAGACTCACGCAGCCATGACATTTTTCATAATATTTTGTCACTAATATTTCCACAACCATCAGAGATAATAAAGTGTCTTTATATAGTTTTACTCCGTTGATTCAAGAAGATTGAAAAAATGAGGGACAAGATTTGATATGGAGAATTAAATAGGAATGAAAATAAAGAGAGATCTGACTTCAGAACCATTTCAGGGGCTGGGGAATTAGCTCAGTGGTTCCACTGCCTGCCTCACAAATGCAAGGTCCTGAGTTCAATCCCAGGTACCGAAAAAAGCCAAAACAAATAACAAAAAACATTTCAGAAAATGAAGATTGCAGATAGTCTTTGCTAGTTGTAAGTCATGTAGCTCAGACAATTTCAGTTAATCTCACTGAATTTCTGACATCTCACTGGCAAATTAGTACAATCTTTTCTGCCTTACATCCCAACCAAACAAATGCAAGGTATTTTGATTCAGCCGATATTAATTCGCACCTACTACTGTGTACCAAGCATAGTACTTATTTCCTTATTTAACATCAAAATAATCCTCAAAAACTTTAAAGATAGATACTTTAGTCTATTTCCTACCAGTTGAACTTACCATACTCCGTGCTAAACTAAGACTTCCCCATATTATCATTCCAGAGACACCTAGAGAAACAGTTTCGCCAATTGTATTCACAAGGTCATCCTGGCAAATGTGATAGAAAGTTAGCACACAGGAATAAAATGAAAGTTTTATGCATAGGACAATAACACTAAAGCTAAGCATTTTGATCAAACAATAATAATTTAAATATTTCTCCACTATTTATATATTTTAAATAACCCCTTCCCTTACTATAAAAATATAGAAACTATTATTGCTTTTATTCTTTAGACAAAAGACAGGACCATGAAAGAAAAAAAGAAATGGACCCAGTGCATTATATATTTTCTACCTAATTCTTCGTGGCTGCTAAAAGATTACATGACTGCATTAGAGATTAAAGATATTCTTATTTTGACTTCATAGGGCACAGAACTACATGTGTGCATTTTCCTAAATGATAGCAATAGCTAAATTTCACTCCCTTCAAAATGATATTAAATTCCATTAAACATTATTTATGGACATTATTTCACAGTGGTCTCACTTTGATTTACTTACCACAGCAAGGAATGTCGTAGTGTCATCAGTAAAAACCAGGCGGATATATACAAAAATCGGAAGTGGATTTTTAGCATTAGGGATTTTTGAAATCCTAATGGATTCATGTACACGACTACGGACATAGAGTGCAGCATTTGGAGATGACTTTAAGCGGGAGTTCAAATAAATAGATGGAAAAAGGGCAGTGCTTTCATTCCACAACCAGTGGAGATCATCATTTCTTCTCTTTTCTATATCAGGGCAATGCCCATTGTAATTGGGTTTATTATAATGAGTGTTGTAGCAATCAGGAAAAAGGTAATAACCCCACAAGCTATTTGGCCGAAGTGATTTTCCCAATTTTAAAGTTTCTAGCATGAAATCTTTTCCTGTCCTTTCAAACTCTGCTTTGGCTACAGCACTGGCATATGTGAGATTAAATTGTGGATTTTGTTGCATAACCAACTCAATAGACTTATTCCTATAAATATCCTTAGGTTTCCAGTTTCTTGCCCAAGTGGGCCTCCATTCTTCCCAGTCAATGACAGCCAAGCCCACCTTGTCTGTGGGCATGTAAAATAAGATGTCTTGCTTAGCTTTGTCCAAATGTGTTTGTAAGTTCATCACCTGGGGGAGTCCTCCATACTTAATTGCGCTTGTGTGATGATCTATGTAAGGATAATAGCCAAGTCTATCAACGTAATACAGAGTAATACTTTGCCCTGTGATATTTTGTCGGGGGGCTCCTACTATAGAGAAGAGGCTCATATTTAGTGGCCGGTTAGACAGCCCTGCACACAATTCAGTTGGGGCATTCCAGACCCAGAGCAAAGGCACATCTGGAAATAACGGGGGTGCCCTTCTATCTACAGTCAGGCAACATGGAATCAGAAGGAAAATGAGCACTGTCTGCAGTGCTCCATTGCACTCAACAGAACTTCCAAAAAGGACGTATTTGAAAATTAATACTTCCATTAGAAAGAGTTACGGCTATGAAAAACAGTTTTTCTTCTTATGGACTGGTTGTTCCAATATTTGTTGCACAATGTGAGCACCGAAGACGTGCAGTAGAATGGGAACACTGTGGTGAAGAAAGAGGTATAACAACTCTGTCACACTGAAATATTATTCTTCATGTTTTGTATTTCAGGAATGTTTTGGAAGTTGCACCATCTGTAACTGAAAAGAAAAGAACATATTCTTATACCCAAGGTTGAAAGCATTACCCAGTTCTCAATTTTATGTTCAGTGGGTTTAACTCCATTTTAGAAGATAGAATAACTACTATTGTTTAAATCAGTAAAGGCATTTTCTCTTGTGCGTAATACAGATTATATCATAAGATTTATCTCAACTTTTCAAATTATTATTGAGTTTGCAGTGAGGTGAATGTGATTATTTTTCCTTTTGCCCTCCCAGATGTGCAGAAGGAGATACCAAACAATGCTTTAGAAGAAGGTCTTAGAAAATAAATTTCAGATTGAACTTCTCATTGTATTGTTTGTTGGTTATTGAAAGACCATTTTATAGTGGTCTGCCGAATAGTAAAAGGAATTGTAAAATTTTGTTTTAATAATTATTCCTCTCTCTTTCTCTCTTTCACATTACATAAGACAGTAAGAGAAAAGTCACTTTTGCCAGTTACAAGAAGTCAAAAGTTTGCTTGAAACTATTGAATCAACCAAGAACTGCTACCAAATGACAACTGCAAGTACCCTTTAGAACATTGTTCAGTCAAGCTCTTACAGTAGTGTACTCTCATATTTAAAGAAAATAAAAATGTCTTACTACTTTATATCTTCTACTAAAAGAATCAGTTCTAGCCTTGTTTAATAAAAGACAGATATGAATTTTGGCTTTTTTGGAGGGTTGATAACTGAGATTCTGTTGTCATTCTAATTGACACAAATTGAAGTGTTACAGCAAATTTTGTGGTACAGTAAAATGTTTTGGGCCAAGGACAATAAATTGAAGTATCTATTATTCAATGCTTAGTTTGTAAATTAACCACTGGAAAACATACTTAAATTTTTAAAAAGTAAATGTTTAAGTTTTAAAAGGAAACTAAAGACTTTAATTTGACTGTAGTAGTAAACAGCTTTAGGAAGGCATTGGAGAATTGCATCATTCTTCTCAGGAATGTTGCCCCTACCATAGCAAATTAGCCATTCATTCCCATTGCTGAAGAATACTCTACAAAGAACACTATAATAAAAACAAAATGAGTTTTAAGAGACTTTTCAGTCTCATGTTTTAAAGATAATGGATTTTTTTCTTTCATGTTTAGAACAAGGTAGAGAAGCTAAAGGTTCTCATAGTTTAAATTCTTGCAAACATCCTTATTTAGGACCTAAATCATCTTCATCTAAAGTACCATTACGAGGAAAGTAATTTCTTTCAAATATTAACCCAACACCACTGGGTGTATGGCAGGGAGTTGGAGAAGAAAATGTAATAAAGGATTAGCTTTCCCTAGATCTCAGGGAAATATTCTAAGCTTATTGAAATTAACATTCAAATCTAAATTATACATAATCATATAAGAAAAGCATAGCTTTTTGAGGCAAAATAGCCTATTTATAAGTTATCTCCCTCATTTCCCCCCAAATGGATACTACTAGCTTTGAAAATTAAACTTGACACATTATTAGGTAAATGGATGCACATTGAGACCACACTTTCAAGTGAAATAAATAAGACACACATTTAAGTATCACATTATTTCTCTTGTGTGAGAAACCAAAAGCATTAATAAGGACCAAAATGAATAACACACATTGGACATATTGGGAAGTAGGAAAAAAAATGTTCAAATGGGAAGGGGAACAGGGAGGCAGGAAGGAGAAAAGGAGGAAAGGGAAAAGGAAGGAGATGGAAGGGAAAAAAGGAAACAAAGCTTTTGTAAATAAGGAGGGGAAGAAAGGTTGAAGGTAGGGAAGGAGATGGGAAAAAGATGAAGATATGTTATGTACAAATTATGATGAATGTGATCATTACGTATATAGAAATGTACTAATACAATTTTTTTAAAAATAAAATTGACTTCTCCCTCCTCCCCATCTCTCAATGGGGACTTTCCCACTGACCAATAGCCCCTCCATCTTTTTTTTTTTTTTTATTCTAAGACAGGGTCTTACTAGGTTGCTACGCTGCCAAATTGCCCAGGCTAGGCTCAAACTTGTGCTCTTTCTGCTTCATACTGTTAAAAGTGTTGTGCTCATGAGTATGAGGAACCATGCCTGGCAACATCTCTTTAAACCTCTGGAAAAAGCATCAGGGTACAGAAATGAGACAAATCTAGATGTTGGCATCCACAGTGTCATGCAAAATCCTCCAAAATCTGAAACTTTTTGCATCCACTTGAAGCCACAGCATGAAATTTTGTTTCATACATCAAATTATTTTAAAATATTATATGAAATCATCCCCCGGTTATTCGTACCAAGCATACACCAAGTATAAATGAATTTCATCTTTGTTGGTGACCATCCCCAAGATACCTCATTATGTGTATACAAATATTCCAAAATTTTGCAAAAAGTCTGAAATCTGAGAGATTTCATGCCCCATGCATTCCAGATAAAGGATACTGAACCTGTATTCCTAAGATCTACACTCAGTTATACCTGTTAAAGTCGCCTCCTAATGTCCTTGCCCATGGTGTGGATAATTGTTCCTTAAAGTGCTCAGCTAAGTCTTAATGTTCCCAGACTCAGAAGTCTGCTTTCCAAGTCCAGCCACCTCACTTGTCTTCAGTACCTTCAAGGCAAGAAATAGGCTGGTCTTAATGTCTTTTTAAAGCACTGGCAAGTCAGTTGTATCTCTTTAAACTGTTTTTTCTCTCAAAATAAATTCAAAAGCTTCAGAGCTGAGTTCACTTATAATTCTATTTAGATTAAATTCTTATGCTTGTTGTAATAGAATTTTATCACTGGGACACATGATAGTTAAATCCTTTGAACCAGGAATCCCTTGTGTGAGGAAGTCAGAAATTATTTTATAATAAAAATTATATGGTTATATGTAGACATCCATATGTAGTGGTCACCACTCGGTATTATAAATCTATGAAATTAGAAAATATTAAAATTAACTTTGATAAGAAAATATAGAAAAGTACTGTCAATACTCAGTGATAAGAAATGCTTAAGTACCATATTTATAACATGGAATTTAGGCAGATACCAGAACCAGCTATAAGGACAGGGAAGTAATATGTAAGGATATTTGTCCAAACTACTATGTCATATAAAGTAAAAATGAACACTATAGATTGAGTTATACAAGAACATGTAAGCTCATGCTTAAAGAATTAAAAAATATTCAGATCCATATAAATGAATATTCATGTCTCCTGAGCACCCAGTATGTATTTTTTGGTCTTCTAACCTTTTTTTCATCCAATTATGAAGCAATTTCTCAAATAAGAAGTGGGAACAAAATAAAATTTCATCTTCAAAAACAGTTTTCCAGCACAGATTTGAAATTCATCTCCTTGCCTTCACCTGGGAGAAGTGGACCATAAACCTCTCTATTCTTCATTCATCAAGACGCCGTCACAAGGTGTTCTTGTTTTATTTATTTAGTTATATTTTGGAAGAGGAGCAGTGATAGGATTGTTTCCTAAATAAATTTTATCGTGTATATATAAGGTGTACAACATGATGTTATGGGAAGTTTGGGACTTTTGAGGTAAGAAGAAGCAAGTTGGGATGAAAAAAGCCAAACAAATAGGGAGTCCAATTTCTTGTCTTAATTCTTCACTCTTCTTTTCACAACGAATGCTTTATTTCTGTAACAAGTACTTTTTCTCTCTAGAGCGTCATAATAAACAGACACAGAACTCAGCCAAGCCACTACTCCAGAATCTGTCCTTTTGATAGTCCTCATCTGCATGTCTATTATTTTAATGGAAATAAGAACTGAATTCAGATACAATATGTTGAAATCATTGAATATTTTTAATTTAGCATAATTAATAATGGGGAAATTTTCAGAAATATAAAAAAATATAGATGAAAAGCAAGATTATGACTTGTGAAAACTGAGCATGACTTTAGTACTACATGGGGGAGGGGCGAAGGAGAGCGTCCTAAGGTATTGGAGTCATTCACCGGGCCCCTGTTCCGTCTCCAGTATGGGCCAGTCCCCAGAACAAGCACATGATGAAAGTATCATTATAACATTGAATAAATATCCCCTAAATTAGGAAGGCTGAAGATCTTGAAAGAAAGAATGTATATAAATCATCTCCATAAATACTATGGAAATCATTCTTTAAATGAAAAATAACAAAATTCCTTCTGAGCAGCAGGCCCTAGGTTTATTGTCCTTATGATACAGATCCCACTTAGTACAAAGCACTTTGTTTATAATTTCAATAGAAGGGTTAACAACTTCTTTCAGTTACAAGTTACAAGGTTGACAAACTCAGTTTTTAACACATTTTGAGAAAGCAGCACAAAAGCAAAAGTATAAAATATGCAAATTTCTTCTCTTAAAAATGTATTTTTTTCTCAGGGGAACAAAGGATCATTTGGGCAAGAGACTGTCTAGGAAATGTCTTCTTAAATTATGATATTTTATAGATAATTTGACTAGATATAGATATTATAAATTCAACAAAAGATGTTAATATCATTAGAAATGGCATTCTATTAACTCTTTTTTCTCTTTTTCCTTTATTCTTTGCTTCCTTCTACCTTTCACTTATATTTGTGTGTGTTGCCTAAAATATATTTTGATTAGGTTCAGATGCTCAAAGCTAAGGAAATTGTTCATCTTTAATCTGTATTTGGTGTTTTAATCCCAGCAAATTCAAGTGTCTGCAGCAGAGAAGATTAGCAAGGATGGTAAATTAACATAATCATGCTACCAGTGGACATAATTAAATATCAGAAAGAAACTACTCACAAAACTAAGAAGCTAGCCTTAAAACATGTGACATTTTACAGAACTTCTAATTTTTTCTCACAAAAGTGTTATGCTATGCAGTAGAAAAAAATAGACAACTTACTTATGAAGTTAAAATTAAAAAGCTTTTCTGTAGAGGTGTGTAAGTCAGAAGTTACTCCAAACTATTAGCTGTGCAATAATTAACCTGAGGAGTGAGAAAAGGTAGTCTTTTGCCCAATCAGAGAAAGACTCACTCTTTGGCAGTACTGCTTTGTAATGGGGTAGGAAAAACTTCATGAGTGGGCTTGGTGAATGTACTTGTGTGTATTTGATGTTCTAACCCTAGAAAATTCAAATGCCTGTGGAAGAAAAGAATAGCAAGGATGGTAAATAAACATAAGAATGCTGTACATTTTTATTAACATTTGCAAAACAAGGCTCCATTACAATTGTTTTGATTACTAAGCATTTTCTTAAGTTAATCTCAGATTTCTCTAGTGTAAAACAGATGAAGAATGAAATTTAAGGCACTGTTTTCAAGAAAGTAAAACATATACTATAAAAATAAAAGTAATTTCTCCGTTAAAAAATTAATAGAGTTCAGTTTCTCTGGTGTGACTAGTCTGCAATAATACATAAGATCCTAATAAGATTACTGACATTTAGAAATGGGAAGAAAGGAGCTAAAGGTGTAGGGAAGGTGGGATGGGTAGGGGAAGGGTAATAAGGGAAAAGAAAAAAATGTGAGATAATGAAAAGATGGAAATAAAGAGTTTGTAGATGGGGAGGGGAGAAGGGGGTGAAGGGAGGGCAGAGGTAAGGGGAAAAAATGAAAATCAAGAGTTGTCATGTAGAGGTACAAGATCCCAACAATGAATGTAACTGTACTGTATCCCTAAAATGTACCAATAAACTCAATTAAAGCTGAAAAAAATTAATAGAGTTCATATTTTAAATGATAAAGTCATAATTTATGTTATATGGAAATATTACTTTTATCAAACCTATTCCTTTTCCTTAAGCTGAGAAGGGAAAGAAAAGGAAAAAGAGAATTGTCAAGTAAATAAAATTCCTCAAGAGCAGCCTTCAAAATCAAATTTTACTTAATTGCCCTGGTGGAATGTAGAACATAATTCACATATGTTCAATTTATGCTTTAAGCTGTTTTGTGCTGGTATAATTAGAAAATTATTGATATAGAAATATTTATACATTGGTTTTAAAACTGGATGACAGATCACCCAATCCTAAGGGTGTTTTATTAAAGAAAGTAGTCTTGTTCTTGGAAAATAATCCTTTCTCAAAAGAATGTGAATAACATTCCATGTCCAAAATCTTTGTAGCTCCCAAAGATGATGAAAACATATAATATACTTTTAATTGTAGGATTTGGGTCATTGTTCGACTCTCAGAGCTACTCACTGTGACTCAGTAGAAACAGAGACTCCTTCAAATGACAATTTTCAAACAAAACCTAAAGCTCACTCATCAGAAGCCAGGAGTCAAAATGAAAACAACAACAAACAGAGCTGGACAATACAGTGGTAAAAACAGATTTTATTCATTAAAAGCTACTGCAAGAGGGGAAACAAAACTTCAGTATAGTATGGGACTCAATTCCAAACACAACAAAGAAAAGTGAGAACTCATACTCAGTGCAGGGTGGATGTTCGTGGAAGAAAAATTACTAAAATGAAGCAGCAAGGGTAAGTGTGCATTCTGGTTAAAGTGACCCAACAGGACTTTGCTGAACAGAAGCCAGTGTGATTGGATACCACCTGCCTGTGGGATGTTACAGGATGAGGAATCCACCCCCATATCACCACCAGGATGATCGGATATGGCCAGTGGGGTTCTGTCACTGAACTGGCATAGCAGGACTTCCTGGGACTGGACTCTACAAACATGGACACAGAAGTCCAGGGGTTGAGAACTTGTCAAAAAGAATTCAAAAATGAGCCTGATTAGAGTTTGATCAAGGAAAGAATCTTTGTTAGTCCTCCTTCTTATGTGTTCTTAAATGAAATAATTAGTTAATAAAGTAAAATGCACTTGATTAACTTTGGACTCCAGTAAACTCAAAATTACAGCCAATGATGACACTTTAAAATGATGTTCCAACAAAATAAAAGCCAGAGAATCCAAGCATTACTCAGAAGACAATTATGTCTTCTATAGCCAAGCATGAGGCTGATACATCCAAACATGACTGAGTCCAAGTTACTGAACAAGAATTTGAAGAGGCTTGAGTGTATAATGCTGGTTATAAGTAAAATAATTTTGCTGAGCATGTTCCTGCAATGCCACTTGATGGACCCCAGGTGAAGCTCAGAGTCCTGGTACGCAAGAAGGCTTACTACAAACCATGTCAAATCTTAAGAGTAACGAACACCTGTGTTCGTGCTAGTGTACTGTATAATGAAGTTCATAAAAGTATACTACTCACAACACGAGCATTGGGTTAGTAATCTTATTACCAATACCACTGTTTCTATTCTGTTGATCTGTCTTTTTTATCAGACTTTTGTTTTATATTCCCTGAATAACCAAAGTCATACTTACTAAATGTTCAACTCATGGTATAAGTAATCAAAGATATGTAAATGGCTACTGTAGACAAAAACAAAAAATATCTGTTTATAAATTTCTCTTGTTCTAAGGCAATAGAGACTCCATCTGGTCAAATGTCACTAAACACAGGAACTGATGCTAAAGATAAATGTCACTAATGAATAATATATGAGGTCACCTCCTAAAGATAACACAGTAGGTATTTTTGCTCTTTTCTAAAGTATCTGGAGCATAAAGAGTTACTAGCTTCCAAATGGAGCACTGGAAAGAGGACTATTTCTTAGAAATAAGGAAAGAAAACTTTTCTCAGGAAAGAGGACTATTTCAAAAACCTTGTCAAAGTTTTCGTTAATTTATTACTTATCTTTTTAGGAAGCTATGTCCTGCAATTTATCTTAAGAATGAATATTTTGTGAAAACAAAACAATGGTTGAGGTCTCAGCAACCAAATGTCTTCCCACCATATCCATCTCTTTCTCTACTTCTGAAGAATGTGTGGGGACTAAGTCTATGCCAGCTTTATAATCAGGTTCTAAAGCAATGTAAAAACTCAAATCTATCATTATCCATATGAAAGTTTATGTTTTGCAAGTGGAAAGTTTTCATAGCTAAAGGATCTTATGGGTTAAACAAGTGTCTCTGCCACTGTGATCCTGCCTTGCACCTCGTGGGTAAATTTCTTTGCCCTAAATTTTATTTTTACTTTGTATTCTGAGCTCAGAGATATAACTCTCAATAACTACTCTTACTGCCCAGGTTTTCCAATCAGATCCATCTAAGGAAGTATTTATCTCTGATTACCACCAAGAATATATTAAGTATATCAACTCACAAAAGTTCTACTTATCTTCTTAATCACCACTTACACTTCATGTTCAAATGTAAAATACATCCATCTGCCTTACTGGTCTGAAGGGTCATTCTTGTGTTCCTAACAACCAGGAATGTATCTGAAAAACACTAGAAGCCCCATAGTTTCTTAAATGAATGGGTAAATAAATGAGACTATCCATCAGTTAACATGGGACCAAGTAATTTTTCTTTCTTCTCGAATTTAACTGATTGCTTTTAATCTCCTCCCAAAGGTCATGTTCATCTTTTAGACCAAATTTAGTTTTCCCCTCTTCACCCTTTATTACTTAGCAATTGAACCTAGGGCCTTTGTACCATGCTGCATTCTCAACCTGTTGGCTATTTTTTTCTTTTAATTTCGAGACAGGGTCTCATTAAATTGCTCAGTTGCCCAGGCAAGGCTCAAATTTTCAATACTCCAGCCTCAGCCTCCCAAAATGCTGCTATCCCTGAGTCTAGTTTATCATTCCTTAAGTTGTTTGTGTTATTACTATAAAATATCGTAACCTAGAAACAACAAAAATTTATTTCAACTTCTAGAAACTGGGAATTCCAAGATCAATGTGAAGGCTGATTTGAGGTTCGATTAAGGTCCTCTTTCTCAAAGACTACAGTAGTGACTTCATGTGATGAAAGAGGCAAACAAGTTCCCTCCAGCTCTATCTTCTTTTACCTAAGGATGCTGATGTCATTCATAGCCTTATGCTCTGACTTCAAGACTTAATCACTTACCCCAAAGACTCCACCCATTTAATGTTATCGCAAAGCAGATTAAATTTCAACACAGAAATCTGGGGGAGCCATGAGCATTAGATCATTGTTTTAAACATGAACAAGATTTAGAGTTGGAAAAATTGACTATTATCATCATTAGCAAGTAATAGCTATTTTTGATTTTATATTGTTATATCAACATGAAGATTTACCTTAGTAGTTGCAATCTGAAAGGACTTTAAACCATTAAATCATTTATTCTAACATTATTCTCTCAGAACTGCTGCCATTCTCTCTAGCTAATGATGCAACATTATACAAGACCGGAATGTGTGTACCACGAAGCAGCACTAGAGATATTTACTGGTGTCATTCCTTACAACAATTTTTGTCTTCTTGTTTGATATTTACTTTAAACCTTGTTCTGTCTTTCATAACTGAGTCTTCCATCTGCCCAGGGGCATTGAGGGAAAAAGACAGAAATGCCTAAAGAGAAATGAAGACCAGGAAGAGGGCTGAGACTTTATTTCCATCTTAGCTCTATTATGCAACAGCTAGAAGATCCAAATTTTTCAATCATTAGCTATCATTTAACTCTTTAAAAATATGTTAGTGAGCTGGGACTTCAGCTCAGTGGTGCCACCACCTGCCTTGCAAGCACAAGGTCCCAAGTTTGATCCCTGGTACAAATACACACACACACACACACACACACACACACACACACACACACACACACATATATATCACTCACTCACTCCTCACTCTACTCAAAGATTTACCTAACTTCTGGTAATGCTGTGATAACGTGTAAAAAATACCTATGAAATATTTTTATTATAAAAGTGCATATAAAAAACTGCAATTTCTATACTGCTAATATTATTAAATATTGCTTATTATGGCTCATTTGTATTTACCCAAAACTACAGAAAAGACAGTTGTAACAAGTATAAAGAGACCCTGTGTTGAGGGGAAAGAAGGAGAGCAAAGTCATCCCTTAGGGGTGGGAGGTGCTCATCTGGCCCATGCTCTAAACACCTCTGACCAAAATCTAATTTTTTTTTTTGCCAGCGATTACCCAACATATTGGAGCATTCCCAAATTTTACTTCAGCTGTCGTATGCATTGTTGATAAAATGAAGGATAATTGTAAATATGATGATCTATGAAAGTGATGGTAGGCCTACACCTAGCAATTTTTTTCAATTTTAAGGTCATAACTTTCTAGTAACCTACTAGTTACAAATCAATTTAACTGGTGTAACAAATATTTTTTTAATGAGTAAAAAAGACTATAACAGAGTATGCTAGCATTAGTATAGGAAACACAAGAGTATCATGGCATGTAATGAGGGTATTATTTTATGAATTTTTATATTAGTTTTGGGGTATTAGAAAAACAAAAAAACAAAATAGCATATCTGGTTTTCCTTCTCTTTTCACATCCTACCAACCAATGCAGAAGAAGACTTCTATAACTCAAAAGGTATGGGGCTATCTCTCCACATACAAGCAACTAATTAACCAATTAACCAGTGGCACCATCTGGGTGTCCTGAAATCCCATCTAATTCTGACATCAGCAGGTCTCACACGTTGCAGACATAGTTCTCAGGACTGCCCTCTCTACACTCTGAAGATTGTAGATTGTGTTTTGGACTAACTGACTATAAATTGGGATTTCTACAACTTACTCCTTGGATTTAATTAATTTGCTTAAGCAGGTTATAGAACTCAAAGAAATGTGCCTACCAATTTGTCATAATGGACATTACAAAGGGCAAAGATGAAAAGATGGCTGGGATGAGGTATGGAAACTTCAGTTCAGATGACACCTTCCAGGAACCTCCATATTCAGTCACCTGGAAACTCTCTGGACTTTGTTCTTCTGTGTTTTTATAGAAATTTCATTGCATAGCCATGATTGAAGCATGGCCAACTATGTCAACATAAAATTGAGCAAATAGGGTATGGTCAAATGCCAATAAGAAGGGAAAAACCACTCACCTCACAAGATCTGTCCACTTCAGCATTTTTTCTGATCTCTCTGCTCAGCTTTCCTTTAAATAATGGGACAGGACATCTCTATAAAGAGGATGGTTGTATGATCTACAATCTGATCAAGGTGATATAACTAGGTCAAGAAAAGTCTATTCCCCCAGGGAAGAGAAATTCTAGTCTCCATGGCTTATCTTGGGAAGGAATTATAGGCAGGAACTTTGAATGAAAACCAAAATGTGCATACCATAGTATGATAGTTATATATTTGTAAGCATATGTACTAACAATTTAAATCATATACTTTTGTAGTAGAATGGAACAAATCACTTGATACACTAAATCTTTGGAGTCTGACACACCTGTGTTTTGAATCCCAAAATTAACTACTTCCAAATTAACTGGCTTTAGACAGATTAATCTACCTCTTTAATCTCTTCAACACCCAGAAGAGAATCTTTTCTGTGTGGGGATTCCTTAAGTAACGTCTGCAGATGTCCAAACTAGTGGACTAAGTGATTTACTTTTCTAGATTAGGACCAACAGGTATAGAATCTGGCTGAATCTTGTTTTAGGAGCAATGTGACATTGTCCAAACTAAAGTCACAATAATTTAAGGTCTGTCCATTTTGTTTGTTTGTTCTAACTGTAAAGCATAGGTAATAAAAGCAACTACTGCACTGGTCTATTGTGGAAATGTAATAATAAAGCATTTAGCCCAATACCTGTGAAGGAGTTAAGAGAATGTATCCTAAAATATATCTTTGTGGTATATTAGATATTTTGAACTAAAGATAATGGAGAGACAGCAGATACAGGAAGGCTTCTCTGACCTCCAAAACATAATATTCTTCATGTGAGGTACCTCTCTGTACTAGGAAGAGAACACTTATGGCTAAAGACTAAGAGCTGATGCTGAAAAGAGTCAGTGTAAAAACCTATTAAAATAGCCCTTATCTTCCAAGGTTTCTTCCATATATCTCTTGCTGCTCTCTCACAAATTAGTCCTTCTAGAAGCTTAATTCTTTGCAACTTCATAATGTTGTTTTTCTGCAATTTATTACTTGTTTTAAAAAAGTGAATAAACATTTTATCTTAATTGCTTCTTTGGGTATGCACTTTTGTCCAACAAATGGCCTTGGGTACATGTAAAAATACTAAATAAAATGTGTCTGCTTCCCTCCTGTCAACTTACCAATTCATAGGCCCAAGCTGCAGAATTTCAAAGGGCAGAGAAAGATTAATTTTCTTTTTTATCTCCGGCAATAATAGCAGCATATCAGGTTTTGGGTCACCCTGCTTACTCCAAAGGGTACAGGAGAGATCTTAGGGACACACGACCGAGCCAGCAAAAGATGAGAACTCTTAACCACATCAGCCTCCCACATTTCTGTCTGTAGGGTCCAATGCAGTGAATCTAAACTTTTAGTAGAGCACACACATTGGTCAAAGAGAAAACTGCCGCTGTTCTCTGCACTCCAGACATGCCTTTGGAATCTTCCACACTGAGGATGCTATCTGGAAATTTGTAGACTTAGTAACTCCCAACAGTTTTATTTTCTAATGGGCATATAAATGCGACCCTGTTGCTGGCTTTTTACCTTCCTATTAAAATTGCTGTTTGTTCACTCATCAGCCCATACAGGGAGGCTGATAATATGTCCTGGGGGAGGGGGGACTGAAGCGGGTGCTAAATATGCAGTTGAAAATAGTTCCCCTTTCCATTCTTTCTCCAGTCAATTTGTAAACTTGCTTTTATTCTTGGCTGACATTATTGACAGCTTTTATTCTTGACCGATATTACTGACAATTAGGCAAACTGGAAAAAGTAAACATATAAGTGTGCCAAGCAGTTACCTGATCCTTTATACATTCTACCAAACATAATTTCCTGTTGTCTGCTTTCTTTCCATTTTTGGCTTGCATTATCTACCATCAGATGAGACATACATTTAATTAAGGGACTAAAAGACAATTGGTTCTGCCCTAACATTCACAAAATTCCTGACCAAACTATTTACCAATGCACTACTTGTGAATTTTACCAGGTTTCTGTGGGTAATCTCTATACTTGAGGGATGTGGAAGATTAACTAATGGTCAACTTGTAGTGCCCAGCTGAACTGAATCAGCGTTGTATGGATATGAAAGATCCACTTGATTGACTGTTGCCAATATCCATAAAACAAGAACTGGAGGGGAAGATCTTGGCTGTTGATTTTCTAGGAGAAACTTGATGTGGATCATTTTCTTGAGGCAAACTAGGCTGTTCTCCTCAGAGGAGGAGGTCGGACCTCGCTGTCCCTGAGAATGGCTGCTAAGTATACAGTTGAAAATAGCTCTGTTCCCCTGCTTTCATCAGGAGAACTCAGATCTTCACTGTGAGCATCACTTTCCGGCTCCAACGTAGATCCCTCAGCTTGATGGCACAAATTCTTCATGCCACCAGTGTAGGTTTTCTGGCTTCCTCCACTAACCCTCGGGCCTTTTGGGTGCAGATCTTCAATTTAGACAAGCATGAGCCATTGCAATGGGCTCTAGGCCACAGGCTGGACTCCTGGAGGACATTTCCTGGAACTCTAAGCCTTTAGCTGGACTTGTGTGGGACATTATTGCGGGATCCAGGACCTTGGCTGGATTCTTTGGACCTCTAGTGTGTTGTTAATCTCTTGCACTACTTTGTATTTGACTTTTTAGCTAAATATCATAAAATAATCCTATAAATCATGTGTCCTGTATTAAATGTATTCCCTTGCCAAAACCCTGGCTACAAGGGATACCCGATGGAGCACACTGTCCTCCTTATGATTGATTGTCCACGTGGACTCTAACCTTCAGCCTAAGGGCTACACTAATTCATTGGTTGTTATCTGTATGTTTAGTGGGTACAGTAAATACTATTTAGACATATTAACACCATGACAGAGACAAAGAAATTAATAACTGATACTATGGCTCATTTTGACATTCTATTACAGATTGAATAAAGCTAGGAGAGTCATGTTCAGCAGAAATTAACTACTTGATGAGAAAAATTCTAAGCAACTTTTTAAAAATTCCATACCTTATCCCATCCTTAATCATCCAGACAAGTAGAATATAAAAATCTAAACACAAAAAAGATTTTAGAAAAATTTGTCAAGGAACTGGACTTAAATGGCTAAAACATTTTACCTTTGGCCCTTATAAAATATAAACTTTTCCTAAAAGGAAACATAAGTTAAAACATTTCAAAATAGTCTTTGTGATCCCCTACCAGCCAGCATCTCTAAATCTTCCATTCCTGGAAAAGTGGACATTATAGTGGCTTATGTAAAAAATGTGATGCTTTATTTCCATTTTTTCTACTTTTCTTATAATTTTTTTTCTTTCTCTTCTTTCCTTTCCCCCACCCTCCCTGCTTCTCTTTCCCCTTTGAACCTTTGGGAAAGAGTAGAGCTGTGGAAGGAAGGAAAAGGAATGGAAACAAAAATAAGAAATAAGATATATTATGTACAGGTACAAATTCTCAGTGATGAATGTGATCATAATGCATACCTAAAATGTTCCAATAAAATTAATTTAAAAAACATTTGATGCTATGATTTCTATGCATAAGAATTAGTTTGGGGTACATCGTCAAGTTCATTAGGTGTGTCCTTCACCGACTGACAAGGCTTGCCATCTCTTCCAACCAAGCAATCAAATATACATCAAAATTTTTAGAACAGGGCTGGGGATTTAGCTCAGTGTTTCTGTTGCCTGCCTCGCAAGCACCAAGTCCAGAGTTCAATCCCCTATACAAAAAAAAAAGCGCTTTTTAGAACAAAGTGTATGCCATTACCTTCTTGGGAAAGACTTTATGATGTACTGCTAACCATACACAACACCATCAGACTTTAAAACAAAATCCTGAATTCATGCGAACCATGTTAAGTTACCTCTCAGGAGAACTGGAAAAACAACCTACAAGTGCCCTCACAATAAGGATCTCAGAGCCAATTCCAAGCTTCTAGAAGCAGATGACATCACAAAGTAGACAGCTTTTGCCAAGATTGTAGGTTAACAAACTGTTTCCGCCTTTCAAAATGACCTTGTCCTTTCCCCCTATTCACTGAAAAGCTCACTAGAAATGACTTCTCTCAACATCCTGCTCTGGCTCTGTTTCTCCATAGCAGAGCTCTCTTTCAAACTTGTCTTGCTCACAGTTAACAGTTTTCTTAACAAGCCAAGCACAAATGTGGCATTCCTTTACAACAGTTTTCCAAACCTTAGTGTGTTAACGATCCAATTGCCAGGTATGCAGTATCAGCTTGTATGAAAGAGCCTGAACTATGTTTTACTCCTGCCAATGTGAGTACATGATGGACCCACTGTGGAAGATGAGTGAAGGATCCACGCAGTATCCATGACCAGAAATAAAGTATCCCTCTGTCCTTCCTTCTGATCAGATCCTTGGGTAGGGAAATACCTGTATGAAAGTCCAAGGACTGTTTCTTATTTCCTTTGTATTGAATACAAGCGTGATACTGGATCCTTCCTTGTTAATAAACCATGAAAATATTGCAATTAAATTCTGTAATTTGATTCATCATATAGTACCTCAACCCCTTCAAAGAGATTGTAAATGTTTCTAGCACTGTCTTTTATGGTACAAACTTTTACCAAACCTCCACATACTTTGGCTGGCTCACAGGCCCCCCTGACAATGACAAGGGGTACCTCAACTGCTCCTCTGATTAGGATATCTAATTAAAAGGTGTTTACATTGGTAGACAAAATAATGAGAGTAACTTGGTCAGGTAATAAAACTAACCCTGACAGTTGTGCAGATGTCCTCCTATGTGAAATATTTCACAACATGAGCTATTTTTCCAGACATGGAAAATGGAGGTGTGCAAATGCCAATATGACCAATGGCACAGTTGTTCAGCGTGCTGGACCTAAAGAAATGGAGGTTTCTGTCTCTCTCTCTTTTTTTTTTGAACTGGGATTGAACTTGGGTCCTTGAGCTTGCAGGGCAGGCCCCAAACCGCTGAGCTAAATCCCCTGCCCCTTTTCTCTTACTTTTAGCAACACTGGTTTTTATATCTCATGAGCTTACAAGATATATGAAGAATGTCTACCCAAATGGTCAAGGCAGTGGGAACTCAGACACCTAGCTCCTTTGGTTACCACCAGATTGTACATCTTAGATATTTACTAAACTATCTTCTCGGAATCTTTTATTGATAAAGTCATGCCACATGAACATATCAGATAAGACTGCATAGAAAATATATTTGACAATTACTTTTCCAATTCTTCTCAGTGTTGAGGACCTTATTCTCAAGTTTTGAAAATATTGACTTGGAAAAAGTAATTTCAAGATTTCAAGACCACTCTGAAAATATTAGAAGCACTCCAATGAGAAGTTAATATATTCACTTCTATTGTACTCTAAAACTATCACCTCCCTATGGGAATTATATGGAACAAAGTGTATAATTTATACTTCTGACCAAAAATAATCAAACTGTCTCTTAGATAAATGAGACTCTGCCATTTTATTGGACCAAACTATTTGCAGAGATGGAAGGTAATAGAATATGGGGAAATGTGCTTAGATTTATTCTTTTATATGAATTTAGTATCTTTCTAATATACATTCTTCTCTCCCTTTGCAGATGTCTTACCACAAAGGCAAACACTTGATTATATTCTCCACAGCCACTAATTCAGGTTTTATTATGAGAAACTTATGGAGAAGTTTCAGACAGGGAAAATGAAGGGGATTCACAACATGCCACAGTAAAACATGCCACGTCGGCATTTTGGTTATTGTGAGTTAAAGATGATTGAAAAAGAGCAGATGAGGGGAGGATTCTCTCACCTCCCCCAAGACCTAATATTCCTCATGTACAGGGGTCCCTCCCTGTTCTCAGAAGAGGAAAATATTCTTATCAGTGGATACTGGGAGTTGATACTGAAACACATTCATAGAATCATAGCTATTATCTTTTTTTCTTTACTTTTTTTTTTTTTTGGTACCAGGGATTGAACTCGGGTCTTTGCCCTTGCGAGGCAGGTGGCAGCACCATTGAGCTAAATCCCCAGCCCCCTATTATCTTTTAATAGTTTCCCCATGTGTCTCCTAATTATTTCTCAAACACATTACTGCACCTGGAAGCTTAAACTTATTTTCCTTCAAGTTGTCACTTTCCTACAATTTATTATTTTTCATTTAAAAAGTGTATAAAGTCCTGGTACTAATTGGTTTTTGGGGGTCTTCAATATTCCTCGGCAGGTTTTTATATGTATATAAAAATACTAAATACAATTTATACGTTTTTTATCTTGTCAGTCTGTTTTTGATCAACTCTATTCATATATCCCCGCCACAGAATGCAAGAGTAGAGGGAAGTTATTTTTCCTCCCTTGCACCTGGCACATAGTAACTTGTTTCTGTTATTAATAACATTATCCCTTGCCCCACACTCTACTATAAGATAGTAACATTCACTAAAAGCCCAAGATCACTTAGTAGCACTTTGACCTGCTAGCATTAAAGTTTTCCTCAGAAATCTTTGTAAAAAATTAATCTGAGAATGTGAGCCATTAAGAAATTAATGATGGAAATGAAATATTCTGTAAATTTTTACTGCAGTGGAGTGGAACCTGAAGATGGTGCTGTGTCTTAGTAATGGTGAGCATTGCCAAACAGTGTGCTCTGGAGAGAAGTTTAGTGAGGAAGATGTTACGAATCATGGCTCCATCAGTGAATCAGATTAACTCAAGCCTTTGTATGCCCTGCATTAATTGGGCTGTATCTTTGCATCATATATATAAAACAGAGTATTGTTAAGCTGCCCGGGATGGCCTCAAAATTGGGATCCTCCTGCTTCAACTTTCTGAATATCTGGAATTACAGGCATGTACATACCACTCAGCCCTTTCTCCAAAAATTAAGAGTGCTTATTTCCCAACTTTCAAGCTAACATTGAATTATAATACTTGGTAAAATGTAAAATGAAATAACATCTCATCATTTTATCCATATTTTTTTTAATTTTGAGAGAAGATGAGCCATTCACATTTTATTTGCTGTTATTTACTGTTTATGTTCTCATCCCACATTAAGTTTGGGTAATTTTCAGTTGATTTGCTTCAGAATTCCTTACATGTTGGGGAAATTAACATTTTGTCAGTACCCCAAACGTATATTGTCAGTTTGCATTTTGACTACCTATAGTGTTCTTAGTCATTTTTGTGACTTACATGTTTGCAGTACATATTGTTTTTATCCCTTTGGGGAGTCAGTGCATGTACATAGTACATCTTAATTTCTTTTTTCATCACCTTTCCCTTCCTTCCCTGCTCCCTGCATCTGTTGCTCACCTTGCTTTTGGGGTACTTTTGGTGCTTTTTCCTTACTTCCACTTATCTTTTATTTTGCTCTTCACTTATATTTTAGTATTTTGAGAAAACACCTAAGCTTGTGTGTCTGATTTATTTCACTTACCATAATGAACTCAAGGTGCATCCATTTTCCCACGGACTCATTGATCTTTCTTTATGGCAGAGTAATACTCCATTGTGTGCAATGTTTCAATGCAAAAGGCAAGCTCTTTTAGATATATAACAAATATATTTATGTAGATATTTTGATCATATAAACAAATACACTAGAAATGTTTGGACAGTAAATGGGATTTTGGTCAATTTTTCCCATATCAGACCCTAGGATGAGCTAGAGGATCCAATTACAGCTTGAGGGAGGTAAAACCACAGAGAAACAGCAAGAAGGAAGGAGAAGAGGAAGCACACAGAGTTTGAAATGGATGCACAAAAAACAATAAGACGGACTTTAGAGGAGCCTGTAGGCACTGAGAATGTGCCCTGACAATAGTGGGGCAAGAGTTTGGTAAGTGAAGCATAGACTGATACACACCTAGAATTTAATTTCAGTGTGAAAATCTTCTCTTATTCATCTGTGATTAATTGTTAAACTAGGTAGCAATCACCACCATTTAGTCTACCCTAACATAGTCACTGATTAATTGTGTAAAATATTGACTTCTCTTTCTGCATGACAGGGCTAAAGTTTTGAGAAAGTTTATCTTCAATAAGTCAAAGGCTAAGTAAATAAATGTATATGTAGATCTTGGAGGCCTCTGAGAAGAAGCGAGGGACTGAAAATGGAACATTTTCTATTAGTTAAGGAACACAAGATTTATCCTTATGCCATAATTAATAAAGCACACCCTTGCCCAATTTTTGGCAATTTTGGAATTGTCTCTGATAATAGCTTTCATTAGCATCTCAAAATATTTTCTTTTGGGAGGACATATATGGTCAGCTAAAGAAATGCCTTTCTTTTTTTGTGGAGGGTTTGAGACAGGGTCTCACTATGTAGCTGAGATTGACCTGGAACTCACTATGTAGCCCAGGCTGGTCTCAAGCTCACAGGGATCCTCCTGCCTCAGCTTCCCGAGTGATGGGATTTCAGGTGTGCACCACCATGCCCAGCTAAGAAATGCCTTTCTTAATATTCTTGTGAGATTAGAGTCATTCATAGGAAAATGGATGCATATTGAGAATATACTCAAGTGAAATAAATAAGTCACATATATGTAAATACTGAATAGTTTCTCTGGTGTGAAAAACTAATTGTACATAAGATCCTAATGGTATGACTGACAATGTTAAATAGGAAGAAAAGGGCTAAAGGTGTAGGGGAAGTAGGAAGGGTAGGGGAAAGGAAATAAGGGAAAAGAAAAAAATATGAGAAAAAGAAAAAATTGAAATAAAGTATTTGTAAATAGGGAAGGGAGGAGGGAGTGAAGGGAGGGCAGGGACAAGGGGGAAAATGAGAACCAAGACCTATTATGTAAAGGTACAAGATCCCAATAATGAATGTAACTGTACTGTATACCTAAAATGTACCAATAAACTCAATGAGAAAAATAAATAAATGTTCATATTCTTGTGA